CACTCAGTATTCTGGGAAGTTTGTGTGAATCATTTTTATTTATTTTTTTTCAAATAAAGCCAAGGTAACACTCATTTTACATACAGCACGCAATGAAAATGACATGAATATGACAGTAGGCAAATGCATAAAGCGCAGCATAATTTGAAATCACTAGTTTAAAGTTTATCGATCGCGGGTCTCCAGTGAAGCTGAACTCCTCCTGTCAGCATTCAATTTGCACGGATCGACCGTCACCCAGAGAACATGCGATCATGCAGGATACACATGAACACTTCACAAGATCTCACAACTGGATCCGACTAAGTTTGCAAGGTTTGTGAAATTAAATGTTCATTAGTCATTCAAAGATTTGTTTAAATGATATAAATGCGTGTTTGCTGAATGGGAAAATGTTTTAAAGAGCATGCGAGAGTTAGACGAATTGTTAATATACTGTGTTTCCTTAAGATGGCTCACAAAACCCGCTGATTGGTCAATACTGAATATACAAATGGAAAATCTGGGATGCAAGATTTAGGTTTAAGATTAATACGTTTAGAAAATGTAAAATGAAGAAATATTAAAGTGAAGTACAGTAAAAAACTAAGTTTTAAAAATAGATTATTGAAGTGTGTTTTATGAAAAAAAATTTATTTCAGTTTTTCTACTTCAGAATTTAATTCGGTGTGTTACTGTTTCTTTGTAATTGTGAAATTTACTATCAATTTCTGGTCAATTTCACAAATTGTTTCTACACCATTTTTTTTTTCACTGTACAAATATTAAAGATCTTGCTCTCTTTCTAAGTCATTAATCAAATAAACAGACACATGTTTTGCATATATCTATATACCAACAAAATCTTGTTTAGATTGCATTTTGATTGAAGATTCGTTTATATTTTGCGCAGGGAACCGACAACATCAAAAAAGACGTTTTTCTTTTTCTATCAAGATGACGAATGGTTAAAAGGTGAGATCAACTCATGTTAACAAATTAAGACACTCACTAACATTTAAAAAAAAGATCACATAACAAACCATAACAACAGCATATTTGAGTGATTACTCATGCCTGTGTTTGTGTGTGTGGTTAAATTCAAATGAGTTTCTATTATTTATTTATTTTTAATTCAATGTACCTGTTGTGCTTTCAAACTCTCTATGTACAAATCTCTTTTCTTCAGAGGGGCCGGGAATGTTTTGTAGAAGTGTAAAACTACACGACCAGAGGGAAGCCTGGGAAGAGAAGAGGACGTCGCTCAGAGAGGTACCACTGATTCATATGGAAAAACTAATCATGTTAATTTCACTTCAACTAAAGATAAATGTTTCATTATTCCTCCAACATTAAAATGTGTAATGTAAATTGGAAATGCCACAAGTATATGAAATGTAAATGCACTAATATTTTGTGCATATTATTAAAATGCATTTTATGCTCAGTCCCTTTGCTTGAAACAGATTGTGGATTCCTAGTTTAACATATTTCAAAATGGTTATATGACATTTGAAAGTACTGAAATTTGGTTTGCAGTTTTTATAACATGAATTACAGCCGTTTCCCCCCCAACAGGAGTGTCGCAGGAAACACAGAGATGCCAAAAGACGCCAGAGGCCTTCGCTGAAGACCTGAACAATTTAAAGTATTCAAAGACATTTTTTACAGAGAAGATGACAGGTTTTCAGAGACATCTTTGCATATTCTGTTTAATAGCTATAATTTATTGTAAAAAAAAAAAAAAACCTGCTCTAATGAATATTCCCTTTGTATGATTGAAATGATTTGAGCGAATAAATGTCGGTTTGTACCACTAGAGGGTGGAGTGATAATACTTTCCTGACTATTGCAGCAGGCTTCAGTGTTTGTTTTCATTCCTCACTCACTTTCTCCAAACCACAGGATCGGCCACAAAGTTGTGTTCTAGAAAACCTACTCTGTGCTTTTTATGTGTTTACACGTGCCGCACTAAAGATCGTTTATTACATATGTTCTGCATAGAAGATCATGCAAATGTTACATCATGCAAATGCAAACGTTTTTTTGTTGTGATTTTTGCATCTAGTCTCTCAGGAAAGTTTGCACAGTATCAACAGCTACAAAGGAAAAAAAACATGTCTGAATGTGTGAGCAAGATTGAGAAAACTCTTCAGCCTTGTCCTAGTGACCATTTTGGCTAATGATAGTGATATTTGACCCCTAGTGTTTACTCTTACCCTTATCTGCAGACTCAAGCAGTTTCCAGCAACTAAAAGGGTAACTGGAGTCTTTACTATTACTTTACTCTTGTGTAAACTTCCAAAAAATGCTTAAAGATTTAATGTTATCCATGAAGGTTTTGATCACAGATATTTTTGTCATTTTAACTAATATTCTTACACCGAAATATGTGTCTCTAATATATGAAAGTTATAAGAATTTAGGTTCTAATTTGCATATAAGTACAAGTCAAAAAATATACAGCTATATATTATAGTGACTGGTCACATTTTGCCATTTGGAATCACTTTTTTGCTTTATTTTACAGTTCATGTAAATGAATGATTTGTATGAACTGTAGCATGTCTTAAATTGCAAATTCAATTAGAATTAATTTTTTTCAAGGTCACACAAGCTCAGGCAAGTTGGCACTGAATGTGTTTAACGTCAGTCTGTGCAAAGGCCAAGAATGAAACGTGCAATCACTCAAGGAGCAAAAATCTTGCGCTGTTATTTTCATCCGCTGATGAAACCCTTAATAAATCTACAGGAACCATTTGGCTCTGCCCAGTTAGCGTATTGAGTCTGTGTTTGTGTGTGTGTATTCAAGAATATCGTTCCATTGACTTTGTGTTTGACCAACAGTGGTTTTGATCACTAGGCAAAGCAGCACGTCTGTGGATCTGAAATATAGTCATGAACACTGTGTTCTATGTATAAACAGGACGCTGTGGTTTCCGATTTCAGTGTGACATCACAGCTGGTGTCTATAGCTCGTGAAGGAACGAAGCAGCTGTTGTGCAGTGACATAAGTCCCCCAAAACTGCCATTTTGCGTTACCAAGTTCTGTTTTTGGCCATCAACCTTAATAAATTTAATTTTGGAACTTTCTAGATAAAATTATAAGGGTTCTGTCATGGTGTTTAATATGCTTTAAGTGGTTTTTAGCATATTGCTAATGCTAGGATGTTGAATGTGGTAGTTGGCATGTTGCTGGTGTATTTCAAAAGAGCCCACAAAAAAGTAATATTCTGTTTTCTAAATATTGCTTGACTTCATCCTTCAATGCATTTTGTTTATGGGATTTTTTTTTACCCACTTTGCTAAAATTAATAACTCACCCCTCCTCAACAAAACACATGATCTGAGGAATAATTCACGTTCCTAGCACAGATGTACAAGATTTTTTAGTTGCTATGTGATTATGTGGAGACTAAGAAAGTTTTATGTCATGTTAAGATTCCTCAGATTAGCATTTTGCTTTCTGCGCCTGTTAAAGGGCCAGTAGTAGATGTTTTTTTTCTAAAGAGCTAGCAAACAGTCCTTTGTGCAAGTTAAAATGGTTTTGTAAAAACCCATTTTGGTTCTACTTACATCCTTTATTATCAAAAGCATGTCACATAAGCTTTGTGAGGCTAACTGTAATGCTAATGTGTGAATGGGGGATGGGAAACCAAAAAAGTTTTTTTCATTCTCCATTTTAACATTAACTCAGCACAGCCTCCTTCATTTTAAAGTCTTTTTCTTGTTTTTTGTTTTCACCAGTGAACGTATGTTAGAAAAGATTAGCAAGCTGTTTGACAGATATGAATGAACGCTGGTTGTTTTTATGACAAAGGGAGGCTAATTTCTGAGCGGGGAGGAACCAGAATACGTGCTGGTTTGAAATATTTACACTTTACTTCGTAAATTCCTCTCATAGTGTGAATAACTTCCACAGTTACCTGTCACTAATGCGTTAGCCAGCTCAAAAAGCCAGTCACGTGACTAGCCTAGCCTGTGTCTGACTAGAATAACAGCCCTTCCCCCAAATGACACACAGACACACTGCTGCAAGTGTAAAATGAGAGGTTTTACACATACAGCTTTGGACTGCATATCTTATGTAAATACAGAAATTGTGAACATTTTTACTGATAAAACACCAAAATATTAGCTTTAGCATTGCTGGATTTAAAAGATTGACTTATGGCCGCAGTCTGTAGCATCAGATGCTATTGCGCAATGTTCCGCCATGCGTTTACTTGAGAAAAAAAACTCCCAAAAGACTGTACTTTTCCATACTCAAAGGTCTTGTGTGTTTTTCACCCCAAACGTTCCTCCCTCCGTTCCTCAAATCCCACCCCGTCCTGCCCCCAGATTTCTCAAAGAGGACTTGTTTGGATCTATAACTATTACTGTTCACAGATGCTATTGCGCAATGTTCCGCCATGCGTTTACTTGAGAAAAAAACTCCCAAAAGACTGTACTTTTCCATACTCAAAGGTCTTGTGTGTTTTTCAACCCAAACGTTCCTCCCTCCGTTCCTCAAATCCCACCCCGTCCTGCCCCCAGATTTCTCAAAGAGGACTTGTTTGGATCTATAACTATTACTGTTCACATCCAAGCATAGGGCTCGGATAACATCGGCGTCTTCCACGATAGGATGACGCTAAGATGAGGGGCTGTCATCAACGGCCATTTTAAAGGCTTCCTGATCTCTGATTGGCTGTTGCTTTGGCTAATCAGGTTAGTGTGTGACAGCAGGAATGTCTGTTTTTGCACTGAGAAATCAAAATAGGCCTACCTCTCTTCCAACCCTTCTTAGTTATACACAAACAGTGTTTGGCACAAAAATGAAATATAAAAAAGAAGGAAAGGAGATGGTGTTGCCTGGCACTAAAATTAGCAGCTTTCCTATATGCTTGTTGCAACAGGTTGAGGTTTCTTTGCTCAAAGGCATATAGTTAGTTAAGGGGTGTGTCACAGTGCGGGTGGATCTTGTTGCACAGTAACAGATAGAAAAGCTGCAAACGTCTTCATTTCAAGCTTCAGTCTTTGGTGTTGTATTTGTAGTGTAGTTCTCAATGTAACAGCTTATATTCTTGAATGTCAAGAGGATGATTTTGTACTAAAAGTTGTACTGAAACTTCGTGTGTGTGTGTGTGTTAAAGATAAAATATGCAAACAGTGTAGTCCAGAAGTTTGTGACCACTAGTAAAAATAATTATATTTTGATTATTTTCATTACAAATCATATTATAACCATAGCATTTCAGTAAACTTTTTACTACAAAAGGAAGGAATCACACTTAATTGAGGGCCGTGAGTTGACAGTATTAGGCTAACCGAGACTTGTCATTTGCACTTATATATTGTTGCTCTTTTGTTAGTTTTGACTGCTTTTATTGTCCTCATTTGTAAGTCGCTTTGGATAAAAGCGTCTGCTAAATGACTAAATAAAATAAATAAATATTTTTTTAAATAATAAAATATACAAACACACTTAACAAAATAATTAAAATTAAATCTGAAAATATAAAAATAAAAGCTAATTCAAAATATTAATAAATACTCAGAAGTTTGTGACCACTAGTAAAAATAATTATATTTTGATTATTTTCATTACAAATCATATTATAACCATAGCATTTCAGTAAACTTTTTACTACAAAAGGCCAAAATCACACTTAATTGAGGGCCGTGAGTTGACAGTATATATAATAACGGTATTATTGTACTTTAATGTTAAAACAAAAAGATGAATAAAGGTATGATTTGGCATCTCTGATCTAGCGAGATAATTTCATTCATGTACACTTTTTTTTTTTTTGAGGTTTTACTGTATACTTTTACAATTTTACTGTAAACTTTACAACCTGTTTGTCTGTGAGCATTTAAAAGTATTTAAATGCATTTAAATTGATACCGATTTACTGTGCAGGCATCATAACTGTACTCCTCTGACTGACTTTAAATAATTGTGATGGTCGGAATAAATCATCTGAAATTACAGATGAGGCATTTCGAAAATGCCTTATATATCCAGGAACCACCTAAAATAACACAGACGCTGACCTATTAGTGAAACCATACATTAAAACCAGTTAGCGAGTAGTAATGCACTAAAATTAATGTCGATTTACTTTGCAGAAAGAAAATTTACTGCAGCCATGATTTTACTGTGTTTTGCCCAAGTAAAAGTTGCTTTCTCCATGCAATAGGGTGTTCTGGTTTGTTACCAGCATTGCTATATGCTGTTGCTAAGACGTTCTGAGGGTTTTTAGCATGTTGCTACATGGTTTTGTGTGGTTTTTAGCTCCGTAGATATGGCTCAGGCCAAATCAAACTAAATACAAGAAACAGTAAAGTAATGCTTCCCTTAACACTGCCTAGGAAAACACCTAGAAATATTAAGGATTCACCTAACAATACCATTCATGCCGTCAGATTGTCTTCTTTGGAATCAAAGTGGTTCATTTATAGAAGTGAGAATCAAATCCATAAAATGACGTCAACCAGAACTGCAGCTGGGTACAAGGTCACAGAGGTTTGTTTTTTTGGTAATTGAAAATTACAGAAAATTGGTTTTTGGTAATTGAAATAAAATCATTGAATTTCATTGAATAAAAAATAAAATAAAAAATGAAAACCTTAAACCTAAAACTAGAAACTAATGGAAATAAAATGTATAAATAAAAGTTTAAATTGAAGCACTAAAATTACTAAAACTACAAATGAAATTATATATTAATATTAACATTAAACTATATAAATAATATATAGTTATATATATAACTGGCTCTGCACC